CCCTCACATATGGTATCTCCTGATGAATGGATTCATACGAAGAGAATTGGATTGAATGCGAGACTCAAGATAACGACAACTCATTTCCATTTGCTGTCCAATCCTTATATGAAGAGATGTCTGGAAACCGGTATTTATTTACATTATTAATAATTAATACTTTCTTAAGCATTATCATAAAAATTTCTCCTAAATTATAAATAGCATTGAGATGCCATAAACAGACCTTATTGTATGCCCTAGTATAAGTTCTATAGGATACATCAATATATAAGTTTTAATTTGTTTTGTATATAATTTATATAGATGATACAAGATTGCTATATAAATGTCGAGAACAATGTTTCAACAAATATTACTCTTCATTCCAATGTTTACCCAATCCTTTCATAAATCAAGAATTTATTCTTTTCAATGCCAGTCAAACACAGTACAAGATATGCGATAATAATCATACAAATTATGTTAATATCACTAATATTTTGGATAAATATGATTGCGATTGCGATACGAATTGTGACCAAAAATACTATTCATTAGAATTAGAAGACATTGAATACACCGCAAGAAATGACAGCAAAATTAGAATTGAATACAAATTACGGCAAGAAATTCACTACAAATCGGAGAAAAAGTATTAATATCAGGGTCAAATAAAATATTCTGGAATACACCGCAAGAAATGACAGCAAAATTAGAATTGAATACAAATTACGACAAGAATTTCACTACAAATCGGAGAAAAAGTATTCATTCGTTGGCTTCCTATCAAACATCGGAGGTCTCGTTGGCTTATGGTTTGGGGTGTCGTTCATAGATACCAGTGCTCTCATTAGACTCGTATTAATTCGCATAAAACTATTCGCATTGTATGCTATTTATTCAAATTTATACCAGATTCAATTCATAAAAATTTTCATTGATAAATTTACCATATTTATTAAAAAATTATTAAAATATAAATTCCGCAACATAATTACAATATTGACCATACCATTAATTATACATCAAGTACATTTGTTATTATATGATTATTTGCGCTACCCTACTCAAACATCAATTGAATTTATAAATTATAAAACTGCAACCGATGGATTCACATTTAAATCGACTCCAGCCATTACATTATGCTATGAAATTGTATTCCAGAATATTTTATTTGACCCTCATATTATTAAATATATCCAACATAATGAACTAAATCATGGATTTCTCCAAATGTTGTTTCAATACTATTATTCCAAAATATACAACAAAACTAAATTAAATATTACAACAACTAATCCGAATATTAAAAGTTTGATTACAGAGTATTTTATACCATTGACACCGTGGTTTGATGGTAAGAATCTCAACAGGCACATTAGTTATATGTTTGTACTACTAAATCAATTTTATAAATTTCAAATTAACTTTTGAGCAATTTATTCAACAATTTATTGCCAAAAAAGATAAAAATTTTGTTAATTTATTTCATTTGTTTAATTTATGTTTTTATATTTAGATTCATCACAGAATAATAATGAATTAAGAATCAAACATATAATTAATTATTGGAATTATATACTCAAATATGTGAATGTCAATAATTATAGTGATTATCAAGCTAATCTCGAAAAAATAACTAGCAACAAACATCTTAAACAATCCATTTCGTTTGACCTTGAAGTTTTATCGTCATTAATGTACAGTCGCACCGAGAATTGTGATCACAATTGTGAATTTACTATAATTGAACCTGTTACAAAACTTATTTCACCATATGGATTGTGTAACACGTATTATTTGGGTTATAATAATAAGTTTGCGGAATTTAAGAAATATTTTATTAAATTTCACTATAGACGAAATTTTGTATGTAAAATTTCTGATTATAAAATGAAATTTATAATTCATTCTCCAAATCGGTTTCCAGACATATTTGATAATATCATTCAATTCAAGGATATAATGTACAACCAACAAATAAATATTCAAATAATTCGCTACGATTTCAAGCGTTTGCCAAAACCATACGACACTCAATGTTACGACTATAGGGACAATGAAACCCAAATTCATTGTATCAACAAATGCTATGAAACTGAATACCGGAAACATTTTCAATGTATTCCAAGAAATAATAGTTTACTAACCGTTCGGTTATACGACAAGTATATTGAGCCAAATGTTAACTTTTGTATTAATTATAGCATTAATAACAGACATGACTTTAATCGACGATTAAGTATTAGGTGTAAAAATCAATGCCCTGTACAATGTTTGGATAGATTATACTTAAGTATCAAGGAAGTTTCAGGATATCCAAGAACATATGCATTTCGATTTAATGGCGATTATTATATATCGATTAATTATTCAGAAACATTTACATTTATAGGACTAATCATAAGTATAGCTAATATTATGAGCCTACGGCACGGCATCAGTTTTATTCATCTTATAAACAGGTTAAGTATATGTATTTATAATATACAAAAAGATCAATCGATGAATACAAATGAATGACTATTGATAAATAATTTGTGATGAATGTAAGTTAAGTTTGAAAACTTTTATTAGTTTGAATGAGTAAACTCTGCTCTCAATGTAAAATTAGTTATCAATAGTCATTCATTTTTATTCATCGATTGATCTTTTTGTATATTATAAATACATATACTTAACCTGTTTATAAGATGAATAAAACTGATGCCGTGCCGTAGGCTCATAATATTAGCTATACTTATGATTAGTCCTATAAATGTNGGTTAATCTCTATAACAGAATATTCTACTCCTTATTGCGAGCACCCATTCATTTGTTTGAAAACTCACCCATTGGTAGGAATTACACACAAAATATCAATTAAATAAATTTATTTATAATTTTTAATATTTTTTAGGGCGTATATTAAATAGGTTTTCAAAGGACACGGGTATTGTCGATGAACTGTTGCCATCAAATGCTTTTGATTTTATAATTGTAAGCAATATTTATATAGTTACTTATCAAAGGTATTTGTATTTTAATAAATTATTTTTGAACAGAATTTAGGTTTAATAATCGGAAACCTTGTGGTGAATGCAATAATTAATTGGTTTCTGGTATTCCCGGCCATACTTTTGCTATTATTGGTGTTTATGTGTCGCTATTTCTACATAAGGGCGGCCCGGGATATCAAACGCATGGAGGGGCTGTGTATGTATTAATTACTCATTTGATTATACAGTATTAAAATAAAAAACTTATTTAACTGTTAAGCCCGGAGTCCTGTCTACTCGCATGTGAGCAATACTATTACGGGTCTGTCGACTATCCGGGCATTTGGTGCGCAGACTATGTTTGAGCGCCAGTTTGGTCACCACCAGAACGACAACACCTCCACATTCTTCCTGTTCCTCTGCACCTCCAGAGCCCTCGGGATACTAATGGACACCATTTGTGTCCTCTATATCAGTGCTGTCGTCGCCTTTATTATGGCGTTA